TGTCTTCAAAGGGAAGCTGAAGCGGTCTTGTAATTGAGAAAACACACTTATATTGTCTTAATTCGGCTTCCAGGAAGCCCAATGTTGAAATTATTTTTCAATTTCATGCATGGAGGCAGCAGAAAATAATTTTTAAAGTACCGCTGAAGCCCCTCCTTCCCGGAGCGTGCAGTCATGAAAGGAGTTTCCGAATCTCCGCTCTCGCGCATCTTCAGTGCCTATCGAAGTTATGCACGCGACACTTCCTATTTTTAAAAAAGGAAAAAACAAAACAAAAAAAGACGTCATGATTGCTGCCAGTGCGGGGGAGTGGCAAGCCTGCGATTGCTCACGAGCGACACGCGCATGGCGGCCGAAAGATCCTTTTATGACGTAACGACTGGTCGGACGTTTTTCGCGTGTTCTCGCGTTTAGTTACTTCTTCGGGGAAAACGAACAAAACCTTTAGAATTACGGGATCAAACAACGCAGAAATCAACCTCTATCTCATTTTTCGGAAGAAGCGTTTCACCTTCTCTTAAGATCAAGAGGAGAAAGCCACTCAAGCTTGTCTTGAGTTGGAAGAAATAAAAAGAAATAAAAAAAACATTTGCTTTGCAATAGGGACTGTAAACTTTTGTACTCGTGTTGAATGGTGATAAATTTATAATGAAGATCCCTTAACCAAATTATAGCGTTTTATATTCAACTTCAGGATGATCTAAAAGGCTTTTTACCAATGCGGTTCTATGGGGAACTCGTGAACGTGAACCAAGTATCTCAGTTAAAACTCGTTCGCCCTAAGTGGGCCCCGCTTATGTTAGTTGTTGACAAAATGCGAGACTGAATGATTGATCTACACTGCATATCATTTTATAAATGGTGGCATTAGTCGCGTGTATGCGGCACGGACGGAACCGGCAAACATTTTCCTCCTTGCTAGCGGTTTGACGCTGCATATATAATGAAACATCTCTCGTGGAAATAGTTATGGTCAGTGTCATTTGGCCAAAACATTCACACTTGGAAATGGTGTAGTCACATGGTACTTATTTTTTTCGCGTCCTTCAGATTGAAATTTCTCGCAGATACCCTCCTACTGACAAATGGTGTTATTATCCATGCCCTGTTTAATCTCGAAACTGGCCTTGAGTTTTTTACTTGATTAAACTGAACTGCAATGGCGCGTTTTCCCATTTGTTGCCGTCTTTTTTCTCGTCTCTGCATCGTAATTCATAATCATTTACTCCGCAGTTTAATCAAGTAATGAATAGCCAACTGGACCAATTCCAGGCACTGGTATCCTTCAGTTTTAGTTGCACTCATCCAATGTGATGCTATTTGAGGGCAGGTAAAGTAACTTTGTGTTGGCGACTGTTTATTAACCCTCATCCTTCTAAACTTTGCAGGCCGAACTATCCGGAAATCCTCTTAAAGCAAGCGTGAGCGATCCTTCGCTGCCTGGGAAAGAGTGCCAGCCACCAGCCAGACCAACCTATGGCAGTGCCAGAACCTTGGGCTACGTTTTTCCCAGATAAATGGGACCTACTAGTCAGATCAAATAGAAAATGGCCACAGCTCAGCCAACTACATGCAACATTTCCATTCCCGTCCCTACCTTCGTTCGCCGACACACCATGTCCATTTTGTTCACGTGTAATTCTCAAAACCTGTGGCGGCGATATACCGTGCAGTTGTTGGGTTTTGTGGCATGCCTGCCTTTTTTCAGCACTACAGAGCAGGAGCGATGTAACTAAACCACGCTCTTTGATCGTACCCAGTTGTGTCTTTCGTGATTTATGTAGATCTGTATCGAAGTAATCTTTTACCGTATGTTTAAAGGTGAAGTAAAACCTTTGAAGCACGTATTAATAGAGAAGGGATCACTTTTATGTTTGATTCACGTGCATTTTTACAGTCGAACGTTTTCGGTGTATTCAATATCAAGTTATGGTGCGGGTGTTTGATCGTGATAATATTATTTTACTTTTTGAATTACACCGCAATATCATTGTAAACCCCTGAATTTCTCTACTTCATCAGCATGATGTGTTTATGTTTGCTTGTTCCTTAAGTTTCGTTCTGATTGAGCGTCTGTATTGGTATAGTATAAAAAAAGGAACAAAACAAAATTTAATCTTCATTCCTAACAGAACTTGCCCACGCAGCATTCGACTCCGAATGGCAGGGAACGGACTGCGAGGACAAGGGGGTGGAGCTCTCCTTCCAAGGAGCCGAATTGCAGAGGCAACCATTGAAGATGGACCAGGAGGGGAGGACGGATGGCGGTGCGACCTCTGCCGCCAATCTTATGGTGCCCACGGAACTAACAACACCAGGTATGAGAAGAAGCACACGGGGAAAACAGTCATACAGCCTCGTACCCTTTTAGCACACCCTCACAGATTCATGAACGGTCCCACACGGATAGAAAACCTTTTTGTAGGCTCGGTTTTTTAGAAGGTGGAAAACGTAAGGAGTCTGATGTGGTACACAAAGTTTTCCTCCAAGTGGAAGCTTCATTAAGTTTTTATTAGCGGTCTGCACCAAACCGAAACAATATACCGCATTACATAGTATTTGATATCAGAGAAATGTACCATGCCGAGTTGTTTATTTATATTACAAAATTGTATTTTTTCCTTCAGTTCCGGTTGATGGAGTAGCTTTCACAAATGCTATAAATAATTTTCGACGCATGAAATAGCCCAAAATATGTTTGGCTGTTCCAAATGATTGAAGCTTTAGAACAGGAGTGGGGCAAGCTGCGGCTCTTCACGTGTTAAAGTGCGTCTCGCGGCTCCCCCCCCCCCCCCCCCCCCCCCCCCCCCCCCCATGAAAAGTGAAATGGACCGCGTTTTAAATCGAAAGACAGGTTGCAGTTTGGTAGCCTTGTGCTACTGCTACCTTACGTACAGTCGGACTGCTTTTGACTTGGATTGATTGAGAGTAGCTCGAGTTTCGTTTACTGCACTGGACAAAAGTTTGCCTGCCCCCCCCCCCCCCCCTTGCGGCTCTTGGAAGTTTGGGGGGTTTCGTTTGCGGCTGTCAGGGCCGGGTCAGCCTGGCCACCCCTGCTTTAGAAGTTTAGCTCTAGGCTGGCAAATGTCCACATCATTGTCGATATAGAACCGCGTTTTTTGCTGCTTCAAATCACTCGTAAAATAATTACTGTGTACCTTAGCGATTTTTCAAGTTTCTAAGGTGCACAACGATTATTCCACGACAGGGATGGGCAGTATTTCAAATACAAGTATTTGAAACACGTATTTTGAATACTTTGTGTATTTTGCATTTGTATTTAATTACAAATTTGGTAGTGTATTTGAAGTGTGTATTTCAATATTAAAACGTGGGTATTTCAAATACAATTGTAATTAAATACAATTTTGTGGGCGAAAATACATCCCTCAAATTTATTGTCACTGTCCAGAGCAGGAAGAAAACTACGTTCTGCGGCAAATGCAGTGTCACTCAATCAAGCACAAGCGTTTAGTGACTTTGTGATTACGGTGCTAGTCCAGGGCAAGAATAGTGACGAAATCGACGTTCACAGGCAGACTGGCTAAATAAGTGCCCGTGACAACGTGTGATGCTTTCCAGCCTGATTTCCATCCATATTTTTGCCTGGAACATTCTAAATGCGCGGGTCGTCCAGATTTTCGTAACTGGTGCGAGTTGCAGCAATAAAAAATTCTCTAGCTAGTGCTGCGCATCTTGGTCGTCTCTGCTCTTTGTTGGTCTATACCAAAATGTAATCGACAAAAAATTCTGCTTGAAGCTCTGTACTTTTTTAACGTATTACGTCCAAGCTGATTACATTTTTTGTGATTATATTTGTATTAGGTTACTAGAGCCTCGCACACTAACTACCGAGTGTGCGATGCAAAATTAAAATGAAATAACCAGAAACCCGTTGCAGGTGCCCTGAAGTCGCTGAACCAAATTTTGAGGAATGTATTTGAAAAAGTATTTGGAGCAGACCAAATACATTTGACTGTATTTGTATCTTGTACTTAAATGCTTTTTTGGAAATGTAATTAGAATTGTAATTAAATAAATTTTTGACGAAATATTTTGTATTTGTATTTCGATACATATTTGCACGTATTTTGCCCATCCCTGTTCCACGAGCTTATTGAATGCTATTTTGTGTAACCTAATAATCTGTGGGTGTGTGAATGACCCTTCCAGCGTCACTTAAAACACAGTCGCGATCATTATGAATGTCAACACGCTATCACCCGGCGCTTCGTACTGGCAGCGGTAAGCAGCCGCAGTGTTGTAGCCGTTACCGTAAAAAAGTAAAGAACTACGTTACTTGCGAAATAAAGAAACGCGATACTGTCGCCCACAGAACGTAACGCACATTACTTTTTATTTATAAATTGAAGGTAACAGCACTTTTGTTTTCTTTTGGCGACAGCGTGTTTTGACTTTAACATGACAGGCGCTGGTTGGGGTTTTTCTAAAGCGGAAATTTTTTCGCGGGGAAAAGATTGGAAAAATTTAGAAAATTTGTAGATTTAGAAAACTAATGAATACGTCACTACGTTACTGAAAGAAAAAAGGCGCTACCGGTAACGACGTTACTTGTAACACGTTACCGCCAACACTGTGCAGCAGCAGCCGCGGCGGCTTGACTTTCCTTCCGCACATGGTTAGGAGAACGCGCAAGCCACCACAGCTGCCGCAGCATGGGGCTGCCAGAGTGGAATCTTAAACGATTGCCTATAGACCTTTACAAGCATTACGATTGAACCTTTTTAACATCTCAAATGAATGAATACCTACTCTAGGCTGCACCGGCATGATGTAGGTATTCTGGACCATGTTCATCTAGGTACTCGAAATTCCCACGTTCAGAACAACAAAAACAGCGCCGACATTTCTTGCTTTCTCCTGTCATCCCAACAGACCTGATCGAAGCATACTCTGGCGACAAAGTGGATACCTTCGACCAGGACAGCCGCAGGGGTGACACCTCTCCCTTCACCAACCCACAAAAGCAGCAAACGCACCGAAACCCGGACAAGCACCGGTGCCGCTTCTGTCCTTACTCATGTCCTTCTGCAGCGGTTATCGCCATCCACGAGAGGACTCACACTGGAGAGAGGCCCTTCAGTTGCGATGTTTGCGAGAAAACGTTCACGGATAAGTCTAACTTGAAGGCTCACGTTAGAACTCACACCGGAGAGAAGCCGTTCAAGTGCAACACGTGCAGCAGGGCATTTATTCAGAAATGCATCTTAACTAATCATGAGAGGACTCACACGGGAGAGAAGCCGTTCAAGTGCAACACGTGTAGCAGGGCATTCACTCAGAAAACCCATTTGGCGATTCATGAGAGGACTCACACGGGAGAGAAGCCGTTCAAGTGCAACACGTGTAGCAGGGCGTTTACTCAGAAATGCGATTTGACGAAGCATGTGAGGACTCACACCGGAGAGAAGCCGTACAGGTGCAACACGTGCAGCAGGGCGTTCACTCAGAAAACCCATTTGGCGGATCACGAAAGAATTCACACTGGAGAGAAGCCGTTCAAGTGCAACACGTGTAGCAGGGCGTTTAGTCATAAATGCAGTTTGGCGGTTCATGAGACGACTCACACAGGAGAGAAGCCGTTCAAGTGCTAGACCTGCAGTAGAGCGTTTGCGGCTTATAGCAATGTACACACTCATCGGAAGATACATCGCAAGTGATCGAAACAGCAACGTGCATCATAGTTGCGGAGGGGATTTAAACGAAATACTCGAGCACCGACGTGTGTTCATTTGGCTTGGCGATAGACCTGCAGCGGTTCTACTTGCGAGCAGTGTCTGTTTCGCTGGTTCAAAATGTTTCAGCCTGTTATTTATCGAGCAAACGCAGATAAAAAATGTGAATTTACCTTAGTTGAAGCGACCAGAGGTCTTTTTTGTACACGAAAAAAAGAAAATATTTGAAGCCTTATCTTTTTTTATTCATTTAAAGTCATTAATGGCGTGATGCACCTGGAGTCTGTGTTGTCTGTAGGGTCACTTATGTTCCTTACAAGTCGGCCTACTCATGATTATAAATATACGAACTTATAAAATAACGAAGGTCTTTCAATAGCAGCAATCTTAAATATTGCAAAGGTTAAGAAAGTATAAGAACAACCGAGTAATGTGGAGGGGTCAACATAATTTTAAGATGTAAAAATAGAACATTATTCGAAACAATTTAGCACACCAAGCTGGAAACTAATGCTTTGCTCATAGGACGGCAACAGAATATGCATGACTCGGATATTTAGAAATGAAGTGTAATTTCCTATCTCATTTCGTAATATTCTTCGTCCTTTTCTTTTTGACCAGTTTGACTATCTGAATTCTGATGTCATCACTCAATGTGCTTGCTACATGAAATACTCGTATGTAAGTTTTCCTTTTGCATGACTTTATTCTTTTTTTTTTTCACATTCACGAAGACGGTCCTCATCATTTAGGATATTCATATTTTCAGTGGTATACATTTGGTGTTCATATATACTCCGTTGCACCTTAGGTACGAGCGCGGACGATGTTTTGAGCCGGGGGACCAATAAAACAGCGCAAAAAGCGCAACGCCATGGCGTGCTCTCTGCGCTTGATAGGACTAGCCGGTGGAAAAGCACGCACAGAGAGATGGCGAATACCGGCTACTCCTATAGTCCTATGAACTGCAGAGAACTCGCCATGGCTTTGTGCCTTTTTCGCCGTTTGACTGGCCCTTCGGCTCATAACATCGGCCACGCTCGGACCTAAGCTTAAACGAAGTATAGTTTCACTTGAATTCGTCAGGCTTTTAAATATTCGAAATTTCTCTTGTAGAAGACGGATCATATACATTTGTTGAACTAAAGGCGTAATTGACTCCATTGTGTATATTCATGTATCTAAAAACTATGTATGTATAATCCATCTAAATATGTGTTAATCTGCGCTGACTGTACAGTGGTTGTCACTATTACCTGATGCGCCAGAATTGAAGGAGGGAGAGTCCTGTTCCCAAACGTATAAAATATTTGTTTTGACATATACAGGGTGTTTCCGGAAAAATGTGCAAAATCGCTACTGCGAAAACTACGCATCGCACAATAAAGAAGCCCGATGCCGTAGTGGTCTGTGTGAAAGGAAGATTGCTAGAGCTGAATATGATGGGATATTTAACAAATTCCGAGTACTTAAATTGTTAAATATTAGTTTTAAAGAGATGGTTTAAAAGATAATATTGGTGAAGGTGCGTCTTCACTCTGACACCGATGTCAAAAAGGCAGACCTTATGTGACAGTTCGGAGGCTTTCATATATAGACTACTCTACGTACAACGAGGGGCGGCGCACGCACGTTGCGCGTCTTAGACACGGGGGGCGGGATTGCCGGCACGGAGATGTGCTCCGAAAAGAAAGCGAAACCAAGATACGCGTCCAAATTGAGCATTTCTTCGGACGGCCGTAAAATGCTGCGCGTGCCTCGATCGTACCATTGTAGCGTGGGTGTTTTTAGTAGTTTTCGATCATAACAGCAAGATTCTATTTGAAACCTGGCCCTTCAAATCAATAATGTGCAATTTATTCGTTCAATATTTCTTACCCAATTATATTGAACGCTAAACATTTTCCTTGGTGGCATGTGCAAAAGGCGTAAGGTGACTTTGTCGTAGAACATACGAGCACGAGCATGTCCGTGCTCCCAGCCATATACACGCAGAGTGCGTGGTCAGGAGATGAAAACGAGTTGGTTGTCTGGTCCGTAAAATCTGTAGCTCCCGCCGCACTGTCAGCTTCAAGGGGCCGTGCAAAGATATTGGGTGTTGGGCTTTCTGCACCAGTGGGACCCAAGCACCGGTGTGCCCGTTACAGAAAACATGCAAGAAAATAGCGTCACTCGTTTGATCGTCAAAACTTTACGGGCAACTGAGATTCGTCACCGTCCTACGAACGTTAACGATATACCGTTACGGTTACTTTCAAACGAGAACGAACGATACTTTTACGCCAATTTGAATTGCAATATCATTTGACAGCGAAAGGCCAAGGATATGAACTCAGACAACCGTTTAACATCTTTGTAAGTTATTAGTTTGTAAGATTTGTTGCATGATCAATATTTTGAAAACTGGTTTTATTGACTGTGCTGTAGTAAATGTAGTAATTTTTTGCACGACCATAAGGGTTTTGCGATAAGCTGATTGAGTAAAACACTAATTTGAGAAAAGAAGTCACCAGGTGTCGACAACTTTTCTCCCTCTCTGAACGGATACACTCTTGGAAGTATTTAAAGGTACTCCCAAGAAAATGGGGCATAATGCATTAAATTACAGTATACCCCTTCTTGAGAATGCTGCAAAGGGCTCTCCCACTTAAATCTTTTAGAAAGTCGGCGAACCAGTGCACTCTGTTGGGCACGCGCAGAGTGGATTTCTTTGATTTTTTCATGAGTTTGTACTGAAAGCATTTAAAACCCAGTTTCAAGCGCACTTAAAGTAGGGATATTAAAGGTGGGTCACGAAGCGGTCCGTACATGACTAAATTTATAAAAAATTACTTACAAGGACAATATAACTAGGGTTATCTGGTGGAGAAATTTTAGGACCGAGTTTAGTGTAATTAATAGTAAAAGAGGCGACGCTCTTATGGGTGAAAAGAAGGATAGATCTATTCATGATAAGGTGACGCCGCGGTGTAGGGAACACGAACCAATAAGGACGACAGTAGGCTAACGACACATTCCGAACGGGATTAAGCGTGCAAACTGGGCTTAGCGACAGTTAGTAAAAAAAAAAAAAAAATTGGAACACTGATAAGGACGTATCGACCCTAATTGTAAACGTTCGTGACGACCGCAACCGCAGAAAATAGTTCCTCCTTCAAGTTAGCCCCAAAGAAAAAAAGAAAATCTTATTTTTTTGATATCCACGACTTTATACCAGGACCGGGGGTAGGCGACCCGTGATGCCTCCCAGGGAGCCATCAAAAGGGTTGCGCCGCTGCGCCCCCATTTGAAAATTTTTGCAGCTTACTAATTTATTTAAACACGGCGGTTCTTGTCAGAAAAAAAAAATAAAACTTGTTTTGGAACACTACTCACATCTTTACTGACTACGTGATGTCGTAGATAGGGGCGTATAAAAAAGCGAAGGGAACGGGGCGCCGGGGGCGTTATGGCAGGAGTTTGCCTAGGGTGCTTGATGGGGTCGGCCCTTCTTTATACCGTCCGATGCCTGTTGTTGATAGGATCGGAGGAATAGCACCTTGCACCACACGCCCATTTTCACAAGAACAGAAGTTGCTCAAAAATGGGGCGAGTAGCAGAAAATCCACTCGGCGGCACACACAGAGGGGCCACCGTGACGACCGCTGCGACCAGCTCCGGAAGACTGCTTCCGTGAACCGGCTGAGGCTCATACTGGAGAATTCCCGAATCGCCCTTCCCATTTGAACCTGTCCCTTTTCAGCCCGTTCCCGAAACACCTTTACGTTTGCGCCCGTCCCGTGTAAACACATTGGTATAAAGCCACGCACATCTCACCCTCTCCGCGAAAAGTCTCCATCGTTCTAACCCTGGTTTGCTCACATTTTCTCCTTAAAAATAGGTGCCGAAATTTCGTTAACGCAATTAAAGCAAAGGTGCCGGCGAGCTATTTATTTATGTTGTGAACTAGTTTTTATTGTCAACGTATTCTTAAGATATACATCACTTTCAGACAAGCTCCAACGAAAGATATTTCTACTTGAACCACTTGAAATGTTTCTGTCAAGATGGTCCCCAAAATGTGGGACTACGAAACGCGACAATGTTACCGCGAACACGATGTAGACGATTGTTTAAATGTTACTTCGAAATGGTGTTAGAAGGTACCAAGTTGTATACCGCTTAGCTTAGTGGCCCTGATGAGCACTTTCAAAGACACTAATAATATTGATGGCAGTCATTTCATTCTGAGACAAACTGCGAAAAACTACAATCGCTTGTTCGCGCTAGCAGTGTCGCGCTCAAGCACTTTGAGTAAACAAAAATTAGCGCTGCCTTAGGTTTTATAATCGCGACGCTAATTTTAGGTTTACCAAAGCGCTTACGCACGTTATTCTAAAACTTCCTTATAGTGAACGGGATATGTTGAAAAGTGAGAAATTAGACAAGTTGACCGGGCATATGATTGCGACATCATTTTCTTACGAGTTCAAACACAAAACCCTCGCGCTCACAGGAAAAATCCATAAACTACAAAATGCTATCGCCTTTGTTGAGGACGTCGAGCAGGACAATCGCACCATCTGAAAGGCTGCACTCCGATTTTGATAGTTCGCGGCTGTCCCCTGGCCCGCACGGCACCACTATTTGCAAGCTGCTGCAAAGGTACCCTTGTCAAGGTTGATTAACGTACAAGTTTGGGCTAAAATTGATATGCAGACATAATTAAAAACAAAATGGCGCAAACACGATGGGCAAAGTAAAAGATAACCGACAGGACACAGTGCTGTATCCTGATCTTTGAATACTTTGTTCTCGTATTTGCGTTGTTTTATTTTTAATTATATCTTGTGAAGGCCTTATCCCGTTTGATGAGATCGATGAAGCTATTAATGTTCGGGTAAGCTCTCCCTGACACAGCTTTTATCTTACGGTGCCGTCTCTCCAAGGTTGTTTCGGGAGAGGGAGAAGTGAGGTGCGAGCAAGGAAGACAGACATTGGACACTTGAACCTAACCAACTGTTAACAAACAATGCAAGCGAACCGACCCAAATGATAACGAATGATGGCCGAAGCGGGAAGGTTGTTTCGGGTAGGGCGCCTCCATGTCCGCATGAAGGCTCCCTAGTTTCGGGATATGACGAAGTCGTCGAAATGGGAAAGGATGAAACGAGAAAGTCGTTTTGAGCCGAGTCGAAACGGGAAGGTTGAATTGGGAATGGGAATCGAAACGGGAACCGCCCATCTGCTTACGCGATACAGTGCTACTTCCAAATAAAAAAATAAATAAATAAAAAAGCTGGTTTATTTTTTCTGTTTATCAGCGGACGGCTGACCCTAAAAGA